GTAGTACATTGCTAGGCAACGCCTTTCACTCACTGAATTAGCGGTTATCAGTTTCATAAATAAAGACAAAATGAGTAAAAGAAGGCGATTTATGAATGCTGAAGAGGTATAAGAAGCACTAAATGCCATGAGCGATGGAGAGTCTGATGGTGAGGATCAGTAAAGCATCTGTCGGCGATCAATGTATCATATTTAGACGTTTTATCCTAATGTTACTCATAATTGTTCAAAATTTGGATTAATTATTTAATTTTTGATTTGCCATTTCTATTGTTTATTGTTCGCTTCTGTGTTGCTATTTATTCTAGTCTGCCTGTTTCCTGAAGAAAATTTCAATTTGATGTAGGCTATTGAATAAAACTTTTTTTTTTGTATTATTACCCGAAGTTTATTGGTGTTCTTCTTGTATAATTCAAATTATAAATGATATAACTAAACAAATTAATAATTAATTAGGTGCTATCCTAATATATTAATAACATTGTATTATAATAGCTGTATTTACTTCCTTCTAATTCTAGTTGTCAGCGCAGGCTTGCTTAATATTGACCGTTATGAAAAGTGACTAGTGTAGCCTGCATAAAAAAGCTTAGAACATAAAACAAAATATAGCTGATGACTAGACATAATCATTTCATGACTCTAGACACTTCTTTGTGAAGACAGTAGCATAATACAGTGAAATAATATGTTCTTTAGCCATTCAAAAACAGCTGTCATGTGCGTGGGTAAAATTTACCCGCTGGTGCTTTTAGGTATATAGCGACCTCTGGCGGTTCTAGTGTTAATGAGAGTGGAATATTTCATGTAACTGTGTATATCGAAATGAAAACAGTCTAAAATCATCGTTTACGTCATTACTTTTCTCACTCCAGGAAAAAAATAAAAGAGTTTGTACGCATGGTCTAGAATGTCCGTATGGTGCGTACATATTTATGGCAAGTTTATTTTTTATAAATCCCGATTTGTGCGTGGAAAATTGCATACGCATATTTCTATGCAATTTTGTGCATACGCAACGTTTATAAATGAGACCCCTGATCTTTATTAGACACTGAGAGGGGGAGAAGCTTAATACAATTTACAATACAATTATTACAAAAAATGAACAGTCCGTGTTTAAAATTAAAAAAAACAAGCTTCTAAAAAAAATCAGACCCTGATTATGGTCTTTAATTGGTTAGAGTTCAAATAAAGCAAACAGCTGCTCATTCCCCATGCTTGCACTGTTCTCTGTCCATTCCCGTCCCTGATAGCACACGTACATCACAGTGACGTCTGCATTTACATCTGCAAGACACATATTTTTAGATTGTTTGCTTATCTGTAACACATCTATAAAACATTTCCTATCAGATTTCAAATAGACGATTATTAGATGTCTTTAAGATGTTTATGATTTAGAACGCATGTAAAACTGACATCTTAAAGACGTCTGTCAGATGTTTGTATACGGCAGATGCTTTCCAGATCAAGAAATCTTTAACAGACATCTTGCAGACATACGTGTGTTATCTGGGGTGAGATTCCGTTCATCTTACTACAGCTCCAAAGGTACAACAACATTAAATGGCAGGAAATTTAATAAAACAAGAACATCAACACAATTAAAATTACAATATATAGATATTAGACGTAAAAAAAAAATCTATATTGACAGTGAATATACAGAAAACTTGTCATGTTAAGTTTAATTATTTTAATTATATTTATTGATATCTTTATTTGCTGACAATACACAATTACACAAGATAGTTTTACAATAGTTCTGCTTTAAAAGTATTCACATAGTAAACACATGAAGAAATTTCAGTCAGTGTAATTAGAATGAAAATCATCTTTAATGAATATGAATGTAGTGAATTAAAGGCAGTGTTGATTTCCAGAGTATTAATTTTCCCTACTTCAATGACCTGTAAATAAAACATTTTTGTTTATTACATCACATGGTTTTTATAATCATTCCCTATTTCATAAGTTATTGTACAGTTGAGAGAACAGACTCACATTCTGGATTAGCTACATTCACTTTCTTGATCACCCGTTTAGGGGTTTGAGACCAACGTAGAGTCACATCTGTCAATCTTCTAGCAGCTAGAGCAGATCTCAACTAAAAATAACATGTTAATACTAAAGTGATTTACATTGAACTATATGATGAATTCAAATCTTCATGTTTAATGTCACTGTAAACCCAGATTAAAACATTGTCATAATATTCCTGATGAAGCAAATTTGGAGCAATGTCAGTCAAATTTGGTTCCCTTTCAGTCGGTCACTATGAATCACGTCGTGACCGACGAATTGGGATCTCGCTTCGAGAGACCAAAGTTTTTTGCTTCGGAGCCGAGCGACAACATCGTTCTGCTCCTACCAGTGTCTTCAGTGAACTACGAGTTCAGCGCGCTCTTGGAAGCTTTTGTGTTGGCGAACAGCGCTTCAGCGGTGGTCGTTCCTGTGTCGAGTGGGTTGCACACTTCAGGCTGCACTACCCCTTGTTGTGCTGCAAGCAGCCATCTCCCCTGTGTGTCTCAGCACCTAAAAGAGCATTTCCCTGAAAGAGCTTATTTCTCTAAAAGAGCTTACACGTGTGCGTCTTTGGAAAGACAACGGATTGCTTCAGCACTGGCTTCATGGCCGAGTCTCGAGGTGGGCGTGGCAGCGTGGCACTCACCGGGTCCAAGTTACACTGGCTTGTCGCCAAACCTTCACCCCGTGGTCAGACCTTACGTTCCTCCGGGCAGGAGTGCCCCTAGAACAGGTCTCCAGACATGCTGTGGTTTACACGGATGCCTCCACCACCGGCTGGGGGGCCACATACAACGGGCACGCAGTGTCA